CAGAGTAGGAAACAGCTGAGCCCAGTTGGCACAGTGGGAATGATCCAGTTTTTTTGCTGCCAGAGAGCAGTGCAAGCTGCTCAGAAAATAAAACAGAAGTGAGGTAGTAGCAGGAGTTTGGGTTTAGGGATGTGTTTCTGAAGTGAGTCTGAAGATAATTTTGAAGGGACACCTTCCACTAGCTCAGGCTGCTCCAAGCCCTATCCAACCTGGCCTTGAACACTTCCAGGGATGGGGTGTATAAAATCCCTCTGAGCAACCTGTGCCAGTGCCTTTATCTTGATTAAACCAAAACTGGATGATGTTAACGTGCTCCAAACATCAATTCAGTCAATAAGATCAGGCTTTGACAGGTCTGAAGTAAAGCTCCTGAAGTACATTTGATGTGGATGGATTTTTAGCAGGAAGTGCCCCATTACAGGGAGGAATAATATGATAGCAGAGGTACATGTTCCTGTCAGACCATAGGAGAGGATTGATGTTCCAGTCTGGAAGGTAGGTGTTTCTGTGGCTCTGGTCAGCTTAAAGATATTTTCTTTTTGCCCTAATCATGGTTTATCTTCCAGCAAAGGCACTAAGTTCTTGCTACCACCAATTCCTTCTTTGTCCTCCAACCCCACTGCTCTTTCTCTGACCATTTTGAGTCCATCCCCATGATTTGGAGCGGGGTATTGTGTCCCTCTCTTCAACAACTATATGATCTCAACCTCCAAACCCCATCTCCTTCTTAGAAGTGTCATTGAGGCATCTGTCACCAACCTTATGGGGAAACTGTACTCAAGCATCACCCTCCCATGGATCCCTCAGCAGCTGGGGAGACCCAGATAACGCTGAAAAGTGCCAGTCGAGTGATAGAAGGTATCTTCCACCTTCTTTCATCTCCCAGACCCACGGGCTGCTTGCCAGGATGCCTGTGGGTCTAGCCATGACCAGGGTGGGAGCTCAGAGAAGGCCAGAGCCTGTGTCTTTAAAGATTAATAGTGTTGTTTGCTCATTAAGGGGATCGTTTTGAAGTCAGCGCTCGCCAGAACATTCGAGTGCAAGCATCTGTTTGCTACTGGGAGAGGATATTTATTGTCTGATACTTCAATGGATGTAAATAAACAGCCCAGGCCTAGATAATGTTCAGACAAACAAACAAACAGCTGCCAGAATGGGTCCCCTGGTAGCTGACCTTCGGGAAGCATCATGCTGATGTTTTAATAGCAGCTGGCTTTGCAGAGCCGAGCCCGGCGAGCGGAGCCTTCCAGGAAGCAGGATTAGTGCTGGTCCCTGGGAGCTCCCACGTGTGCATTGGGTTAAATGAGGGCAGGGCAGCTCGGGGGGCTGAGTTGAGCAGCTTGGGGTCCAAGGAGCCAAGACAGACGTTTGGGCAGTGGGAGCAGGTGGATGATCCTGTGGTGGAGGTGACGAGGGTGTTTGTGGATCAGTGTGCACGCAGCTGGTAGTGGAGGTTGGATCAGACTGGGCATTTTGAGATTTGTTTGTGGTCCTGGAGCCCCTCTATCGCTTCTTGCTCCCCTCCCTCTTGCCTTGCAGAGGTGCTCGTGGTTCACAGGTTCTTTCAAGGAGCAATCCCAACTGGACTGTCAGTCAGGCTCTCATCCCACAGCCTAATAAGATCATCTTGAATATAAGAACACCTATATTTCAGTCAAACTCTATCCATCCCAGCACCCAGCTCCATGTGGGGCTTGTGGCTGATGCCAGCAGAGAAGAGCAGGAACAGAGCAAATGGCTGGTGTGTGCTTCAAATTCCCTGCAATTGGGAACTTGGGGAGCTTCCCAAGCAGAGACTGTGTCTGTGTTCTCGACTTTAGTGATGATCACCTGATGAGAATCTTCTCATTTCACCATCACAGACTCTTCTTTTGATTTTCTTTTTGCTGCCCTGGTTCTAGTGGGAGCCTTGGAGCCAGGAATAAATCTCTCTTAAGGAGAAACTGTTGTTGTGTTGTCTGATGCTCAGGACTGTGAAGAATGTGCTGGAAACTTGGAGATCCTTTGGGCTCCATGCCTGGGGTCCAACATAAAAAAGACAGAGTTTAAGGCAGGTAAAGATTTGAGTTAAAGGCCAGACTCCTGGCTGCAGTCTCCCATAATCACCTCATTGCTGGCTCAGGGCTTGCACGGTCTGTGCAGTGTGGGTTGATGTCTGCCAGATTTTCTGGCCTTTTTCTCAATTTTCTTTTTCTTTTAGCTCCTAATTTTGACTAGAGAGAGAGGTTCTGCACTCACATGTGTGTGCATGAGCTCACCTGTGTGTGTTTGCACACGGGTGGTGGAAGGAACCCCTGTTCCTCCCTCCCTTCCTCCCTCCCTCCCCGTCGGCAAAATAATGACTTTTCAGGCAATTAGGCCGGCAATCGCTGTTAAATCACTTCCGAGGAGCTCTGTGTTCCTGGTGTGAAGCCTCTGCAATCTTTTACCTGCACCAAATGCAGGGGGGAGATCCCTGGGGGCTGTGCCTCCTGTCTCCATGGTTTGTTAACTCCAGCCGGCTGTTTCTCCAGCCTTGCCTCTTCCATCTCCCAGCTCTTTCCCCTCTAATGGGGCCCAGCAGAGGCTGAGGACGGTGACTGAGCCCTGGGGTGATAATTGCCTGCTTACATATCTGGTGGCCTGCAGATCTGACCCCGATGATGCTGAAAAATCAAGGTCAAAGCAGCGAAGATGTGAGGTTTGTTTAGCACAGGGATCAGCAGAGGGTGAGGATGCTCTGACAGAGATGAGCTGCCACAAGGGACTGGGGGAGAGACAGAGAGGAGACAGCACACAAAGCTCACTGACTGCTCCCTGATAGAGAGAACTTGGAGCTGGAGAGCCTCAGAGGGAAATGGGAAAGGCTCCTGCTGTGGGGGTATTTGAGCTGCCCGGGGCAGAGCCCCAGCAGGGAGACTCCTGTGCTCTCAACCTACAGCCCTCTCCCTCTCCTTCCCTTGTCTTGAGTGTCCTAAGGGGAATGACTCATCCCGAACCTGTTGGCATCTTTGCCCTTGACCTCATGGGTGATTCACATCCGTGTCCACTTCCAAGAAGAAAGATTTGAAGGAACTGAATTCACCCATGAGGGACCACGGAAACGAGCCCTTTCCTCCCAGGCAACCAGAGCCAGTGGGAGGAAGGGATGCTCGGAGTTGGGCTTCAGGCCCTGACCTCTTTGTGTGTGGATGTTGAGACATGTGTCGCTGTCATCACCAGATCCATCAAGATGACAAATGAACTGCAGACCCTCTGGTGTCATTTGGCCAGCCCAACAGCCAAGTGCCTGCACATACACCCACGTCTGTGGAGGTTCATGGATAGAACGTAGGATCTGAGCATCCCTGAGCACCCTCCACAGCCTCTGCTGGCACAGGGAGCCCCTCTAACTCCTTTCTTCTTCATTTTCCTTGCCTTTCCTGGGGAAATCATATTTCTGTGTTGTCCCACAGCATCTGAGTAGATTGAGGAAAGGCAAAGATAAGAACCTGTAAATCCTTGCTGCCCTTTGCTCATACAGCCCTTCCAGATGCTTTGCCATTCCCTCTCTTCCTTTCTCTTTGACTTTCTAACACAGAAGACGATTCAGGCTCAGTTTCTTGGCTGAAAGGTTGATACAGAAGGAACAGGCTCAAGGACTGTGCCAGGGAACAGTGGGATCTGGTCTTGGTGCCATAAGTTCTCCACATTTTGTTATTCCCTTTGGATGGGAAGGGTGCTTTTCGCTCAGCTCCCAAACTGCACAAGTGCAAACCAGGGACTGGGGAGCTTTGGTCAGGAAGGTATGGAGATCATGATGTGGAGTAAGATGCAGGCCTACTACAACTTTGTTTCTTCTGGAAAAGGACACTGTGATGTTTGTGTTGCTACAGGGTAGAAGATTCTCAGAAAGTGAAAGGCAACACAGTGAAAACATAGTGAGGGAGATAAGGAAATGCATCTTGAAATGCATGACTGTGGGGTCTGCTGCTGTAAAGAGCCTCACAAGATCCAGAAGGACTCCTGTGAATAGCTAGTTTATCCTGAATTGTTATATATTAAAAGGGATTGCAAACCTTCTCTGACTGACTTTTGAACCCAACTCTAGAAATCGTTTTTAGACAGGTAAAGAAACCTCTGTCGTTTTCTGTGTTTTCTTCTGTATTCACTGGATCACAGTCAGGGATAGACTGGGAACTGTATGTCTTGTTCCTCCTCATAATCCCAGTTATTGATGTTCCTAAGTGACACCCCGTTATGAGATGTGTCTGGAATCATAAGGTGCCATATTCGTGCAGGACCGATTTCAATATCTGATATGTGCAATCAACAAGAGAAATAGCCTGTGTTGCATTGAACACTCTGCAATAATGTATTGCCTCGTGGAACATTAGCAAGAGGAGCAATAATATTATCAGAGTAGCATTTGAGTGAGTCAGTCCTTCAGGCTCTTGTGTGTTTTTTATCTTTTTGCTCATCACCACCACAAATCCTTCCCTTGTGCCATCATTTTCGGAGTGGTAGATTTGTCCAGGCAATGACAGCAGCACAGTGACAGTGCCAGATAATAGCAAGCAGGCCCTGGATTGTTCTCCAGTGCTCTTGTGCTGATGGAACCAGCAGAGGTGGTTAAATCTGCTTTATCCTTTCAGTGAGGAGGAAGGGAAAAGTCCACTTTGTGATGACAGTGGTCGTTGTACAAAAAACCTACTCCACAATGCATTTCTCCAATGATTATTACGTATATATATTATAAATATATACATATTGCTGTGAGAGTGGGGAGGCCCTGGCACAGGATGCCCAAAGGAGCTTTGGCTGCCCCATCCCTGGAAGTGTTCAAGACCAGGTTGGATGGGGCTTGGAGCGACCTTGTCTAGTGGAAAGTGTCCCTGCCCATGGCAGGAGGGTTGGAATTGGATGATCTTTAAGGTGTCTTCCAACCCAAACCATTCTGTGATTCTGTGATTATTCTACATTTTCAGAGGAAGGAGGAAAAATACTCATGTTTTCTCCCTGCTTTTGTTTTTCAGATCCGTGTGGACGGCACCACCAAGAACACCCTGGAGTATGAGATTGTGCAGGTGGTGGACACTGGCCCCATCCTGAGGGACATGGCCTTCTCAGTGGACCACGAGCACCTCTACATCATGTCTGAGAAGCAGGTAAGAAACTCCACCAGTCCTTGGTGCTTTGAAAGCTTTTGGCTCCATCATTCTGTGGACGTCAGGACTGCACGTGAAGTTCTGACAGTGACCACAGTTCCTACAAAGATGTGCTCTGTCATTGATCTCATGGTTTTTCGTGCTCAGAAACCATTGCATTTATAAACTGATGCAATATTTAGGGACCAGGGGCAGAGAACTAAGAGGGCAGAAGCCCCCCCCAGCGTTGCTTTGTGCAGTCCACGTCCTGCTGGCTGCATGACAAGGAGCTGCTGCTGCATCTGCTGGTACCACACTGCTCTCCACCCCCACTCAAACTGTGGCTGCATCTGCCACAGACATGGAAAAGTGTAATGCTGAATCATTTGGCTCCAAGGGGAGTTTTTGGAGAGGCTGGGGCCTCTTTGAGACGCAGTGATCAAGAGTGCAGGGCGCAACCTGCCAGGGTGCAGGCCAAGTTTCATATGATGTCCCTGTTGTGTTATTTGTGTTATTTTGCAAATGCTAACAGCCAGATCCCAGGGTAGGATCAATCTGGGTGTTCAGCATGGAAGTCTGGATGATTTCAGCAGAATGCTTGGCCTTGAGAAGTTTGCTGTTGGGGTGGGAGGAGGAGGAACTACTTTTGCATGAAAAAATCCACTGTGTATAATTAGACTTGTGGACGTGCAGGGTCACTTGAGTTATTGTAACTGGTTTATTCAAAAATGCTCATGAGGGGCTCTAGCTCTGCAGAAATAAAGGGAGCAAAGAAGGACTGTGTTGGGGTGATGGCAGGTGCCCTACAACACCACTTCAGTGGAGGTCACCAGTCCAACTGAGACCCAAACAGATGTTCCAGGATTCATTGAACCCTGGCCTTGGACTCTGTAAGCACCACCAAACATAAAACAACCACCTGATATTCTCCTTATTGTCTTTATGGATGGCCTGGAGGACACCTGCCACCTTCAGAGCTGTGTGATTTCCTCCCAATATCACCCAGTTCCCTAAAAACAAGGTCCCCCCCAGGACGTGCTGGGTGCTCCCACCCTCTGACAGCACCAGTGGTCAACAGTCAGTGGCCTCAAGGATGGGGATGGGGCACAAAATCCCCTCTTCTCATCCACCCCCGTGGCAGTTTTACCACCCACAAATTCCTGCCTTAAAAAGGCCACGGTGAATAATCATTTCCTCCTCACCTGCCACGTCTTTATGGACCTTCCTCATATCCTCCTCAGGTGGCTGTTTTCCAGACCGTGGCTAACAATGGAATTATTAACCTTTACCTAAGATAAGAGGTGTTTTCTCCTGACCTGTAAGGAGATATATGAGATATTTTGGAGGGAGGTGTTCAAGAGGGTTGCTGTGATCCAAGGGCTCAGATGTGACAGGCTGGTAGTGCTTCTCCACATACACAGTAGGGAGGTTATATTTGCCAACCTATGAGTATCATTTCTTCTGTTTGAACCATTTCATTTGAAGTGTTTTGTGCCTCTGTGATATCTCTGACCATTTCTCTCTACTGTGGATATTTATACCTAAAATTTGGTAAGGGGGGGGGAGCAACTCTGTACATTCCTCCTCATTACAGAGGCTGTGAGATGTCATAACTCAGGAGAACAGGACATGATGACAGGGCTGCGGTTGCTTTCCAATCTGCTCCATTCTGGGCAAGAACTGGATGTCATCTCCAGTGCTGAAGTGAAAACAGTCCCAGTCACCTGCTGGGAGGGGGTGGGAAGCTGGAGGCAGGTGATGCTTGAGGTTCTGTGAGGCTTCGGTCATGACACCGTTCCTTTTTCATGTCCTTTTACTGTGTGGGCCCTTTGTCTTCTTCTTCTGCATAGAATGGAATTCCTTGGGGGTCACAGCCCTTGAGCATGTTGATATGGCAATAACCAACCCACTGATTTCAGATTTGCTCCATGTCCTTTTTGTGCAGGTCCATTTGGCGCCAAGTCACCTCAGATACCACCCCTGGCTTTGTATGGCCCTTCAGATTTACAGAGACAAGATGTTTGGCTCCCTTGGGCTGGTTGGGCCCAGGAACTGTCTCAAATCTCTATAGGAAAGGCCAGTGGGACAGCAATGTTCGATGCCTCACTTCCTTAAAAAATGAAATCTGGAACGAGAGGAGCAATTTGATTTTTCTCCAGAAAGTTCTATGAACATATTCTTGCTGACATGGTGACTACCTACACATCCCTGACCCTTAAACAGGAGTGGGTGCATTTTGTGATTGGCTAAAGCACAAGCTTAGGCACGTTTTTATGGGGCCCCAGATTGTTGATGGAGCCCTGCAGAGAACTCAGGAGCCCTGAGTCCCTGTGTGATTTATTCAATCATCTCCTCCCACCCTTCTTCGAAGCTCATGGGTGTCTCTGTGAGAGAGGTTAGTGAAAAGGGCAGGGACTGTTGTTATTTAAAACCTGATCCCATTTTGTGAAACACTCAATGCTACAGAAGCCTTTGCCCAAGTCTGATTTTATCAGAGGCGTAGCAAGTGATGTGAGTGACAGAGCTGCCACCACAGCAGTGCAGTCACTGCCTGTGTGCTCATGATACAACACATTTCAAGTGCTTGAATGAATTAGCATTTGTAGAGCCTTGGTGGCTGAGAGTGGGTGCAGGGGTTGTGCTGGAGTCAGGATTAGGAACAGCTTGGCCTTGGGGAGCAAATATCCCATCCTCCCTACAAGCCATGTCGTACAGATCTTTTCATAACTGGATGAAGATCTGACTTATCAGAGGTTTTCACTGCCCACAGTGCTATTGTGAGGCCCTTGGAGATGAAGGACAGGAGGGTGATGGCTTGGCCTGACCTTTTTAAAGATAGACAGGCTCCAGGACTCGTCCCATCCCTGGGGAAGGAGGAGGTTTCTCCTGCCTCTGTCTGCTGGGCTCAACCCTGTCTGCGCCCCAGAGATAAGAGTGGTTCTGTTGGCTGTATATTTGCTCCATTAAAAGCTGTTTTCATAGAATCATGGGATCATTAAGGTTGGGAAAGACCCCCAGGACCATAAGTCCAACCTTTGACCGAATACCACCACGCCCATTAAACCATATTGGGAAGTACCACATCCACTCATTTTTTGAACACTTCCAGGGATGGTGACACCACCACCTCCCTGGGAAGTTTGTTATAACATCTGGCCACTCTTTCAATGAGGAAATTTTTCCCAGTATCCATCCTGAACCTCCCCTGGTGCAACTTGAGGCCATTCCCTCTTGTCCTGTGACTGGTTGCCTGACAGGAGAGACCGACCTCCACCACACCACAACTTCCTTTCAGGTAGTTGTAAAGAGCAGTAAGGTGCCCTTGAGCCTCTTTTTCTCCAGGCTAAACAGCTGCTTTCATAGGATTTATGCTTCAAACTCTATGTTTTTGCCAGTCTTGGCTCCATCGCTCACCAGTCCTCAACAAGAATAGAAGCCCCAGTGATAAAGCCAATTTCTCCAGCTTGTCCCAGTCCTATCGTGGCTCTGGCAGTCCCAGCAAGGCACCTTTAACCCAAAACACCTTCAAAGAGCTGTCACTATAAATCAGACTACAAGAAGCAGCTTTCTTGTGCTACCAAAAACATATATATATATATCTATCTATATCTCTATATATATCCCCTGACCTTTTTTAAGGTCAATTCTGCATGGGAGCACTTTCCTCAGTGCACTTGGGGGTCCTTGGGTTGCACATGGGGGTTTTCATTGGGAGCTGAACTCCCTGGGCTGCAAAGGGAACAGGGAACCCAGCTCAGCCTTGTGGTCTGTGGCTGAAACAAGTTCTCCCTTGCAGCTCCTCTGAACATCAAGGGGTGACAAGCAGCTCTTGCCCACTGTCAGCCATGAAGTGCTCTTGGGAGCAGGATGCCACAGCTTTTCACCATCACAGGGGCTCCATTATATAGAAATACATATTTTATAGAAAGAGTGATTCAAAGAGAGAGGATTTGTCACTGAAACCCAGAGACAGGGTATATAAAGGTCCCATGATTTTACAGAGATGTGGCCATGTGTGGGTTTTAGGTGTGAATGTGTGTTTCAAGTCCCTGTTGATGGAGCAGGGAAAGGTTGGAGCACACATGGGATCTGTCTTGATTTATCAGGAGATCATCCACTTAGCTCCAGCTTTCACAAAGGCTCTGAGAGAGGTACAAGTCACTAGACCATGTTGCTTCATCCAGCCTGGCCTTGAACACTTCCAGGGATGGGGCAGCCACAGCTTCTCCAGGAAACCTGTGCCAGGGCCTCCTCACCCTCACAGGGAAGAATTTCTTCTTAATATCCAATCTAAACCTTCTCTCTTTCAGTTTGAAGCCATTCCCTCTTGTCCTGTCACTCCATAGCCTTGTAAACAGCTCCCCTCCAGATTTTTTACATCACTGGAGGCTTGGACTGTTTCTTTTTCCTTTTTCTGTTTCTGATGTGCAGACCCCGAGGAACACTCTGCCTCACAGGTTGATCCAAGGGGATGAGGAGCAGATGGCAAGTGCTGCTGGAGGAACAGGAGGGTCTCTGCTGCAGTGTCTCTGCATCTCCCTCCCCATCACACATGCACAGACTCCTGGGCTCCCTCTTCCTCCTCTAATCTCTGAATTTCTTTCTCTTCCCAATTGAGAAGCCCAAGCCTACAAGCTCTCTAGAACTCTCTGCAGGGATTGAGATAATTCTTTCACCCCTTTCCCACTCACCCTGTCTCTCTGTCTGATCCCATCCCTCCTTATGGCCCTGTCCTCTCATTTGCAGGCTTGCACTTGCTCCTCCACTCCTGGTATCCCTGTTCCTTTGCTCTCTCTCCTCTCCCAGCATCCCCCACACTTCTGTCTGGCCGTGCCTCTCTGCTTCCTTCACACTCAAGCATTGACACACACACACAGAGCTCTCCATGCCAGGAGGTGCAGGATGCTCATTTCCCTTGTGTGGCTTTGGATTAGCCCTTGGAAGGTCACCTCCATCACCCCCTAAATAACTGTTTCAGCATGTTGGACTCCTGGGTCTCTCCCAGTGCTGGGTGTGTTTTG